TTTCACCTTTAAACTTTGCTTGAACTTGGAAAGAAGACTTGTGAATTGTAAAGTTGTTGGGGGGGGCATTGACCGGGTTGGGGAGGAGAGGCCTGATTATATGTTACCGTAACAGTAATACTAGGAAAATAATCCTTCCCTTGTACACAAGGTTTTCGCTACTGCAACCTCCGGCATAATAAACTCACATGACATCCCTAACAGCGAATGCTGGCCTATGGTGATGGGCTGTTGGTTATTTTGTCTTTCGCCACCCCTTCTCGCCCCCCTCTCATTCTTTCTCTTGTTCTAAACAAAGGCCGATTATCCAAACAAGAATTTGGGCTGTAACAGGCGGCCTACTTTAAATGATAGTCCAAAACCTAACCATTTTGCAGATGCGTTCTTGATTGTGAAGGAGGTTTGCAAAATCAGAAGTGTCTGATGGGCTTTACTTGAAGGTCAATGGGTATAGGACTGTAAGCTAAGAAGGTGTTCTGTTTTTTTTTAAAATAAATTAATTAAAATAAAATATATTTTAGCAATAAGGAGCTCTAATATGACAGGGCGGAATGGCAGCAGATTTATACAACTCCCAACCCACCGGTGGCAGTGCAGTGGTTCGAGTCTCAGACTGGAGCCCAGGATTCAAAGCTCGCTGGGTGACCTTGGTCCAGTCACTGCCTCGCAATTTAACCTATTTCTCAGAGTTGTTAAATGAGAACCTCCCTGGAGGAGAAGGTGGGAGATAAATGCAGTAAATAAAGAAACAATATGCCTATTCAGAAGTCAGGCCATTGAGTCCAACAGAACTTACTCCAAGGGAAGCGAGTGCAGAGTTGCAGCCTTCCATCTCTCTGCTAGACAACTATATCAAAAATCCGCCCTTAATGTAGAAATGGAAAGATTTGTTGCTTATTCTCTTGGTTTACCCTGATTCAAAATGAGCTGCAGGCCTTCTGGAGCACAGCAGCAATGCTTCTGAATACCAATTGCTAGAAACCTCAGGAGGGGAGAGTGCTCTTGTGGTGCTCGGATCCTGTTTGTGGGTTTCCCCACAGGCATCTGGTTGACCACTGGGAGAAGAGGATGCTGGACTGGATGAGCCATTGGCCTGATCCAGCAGGACTTTTCTTATGTTCCACCTGGAGTGGTCCCTTTTATGGCAGGATGTGGTCTTTCAGCACACTGATTGTTGTACCAGTGGGACTTGCTTGGGGATGTTCAGGTTAGCCTGAAAAAGGTCAAGTCTTCCACCCTTTGATTAAACATTAACTCCCCATTTCTTCTTAGGTTTCTCCCCTGTTTCAAAAGTGGGTATCGTCGTTTGGCCCAAAGTAATCCACATCTGAATAACCTATAGGTTTATCTTGATTGAAAATCTTTTTTTCAAAGAAGAAACCCTTCTTGGTTTTCAACAGGAGGAAGCTAATTTCCTCCTCATCTAAACAACACAGTTGCCCCTACCCCAAGTTGTTGCACACAACATTTCCTTCTAACCTGTGACACCACAGATGCCTGGGGGGATTTTAAGCCAACTTTCATCTTCCAGTCGAAGGGATCACTGTGAGGTGCTTAGACCAGTCTCGTGATCAGACCAAACTTTTTGCAGAAAGCAGTTAGCCTGAGTTCTTTATGGTTGAGATTGGGGCACCAAAAGAAAAATCTCCATCGAAATCTTCCACTTTGGTACACTGGTATGATTTACTCTAGCAGAGTCCTCTAGAGTATTATATACACACAGGGCCCTGCCCTCAAAGTACACTGGGGCTCACAGAACACCTGGGAACTGAAGATGGCAGCAGCTAGAGCAAGGATGGGTCCTTTAAAAATACATTTTTACTAAGGGATGCTAGTATCACCAACAGTGGGACCTTCAAGGCTCACGAACCCTAGCATTTGCTCAACCATGTTGTAGGCTGATAAGAATATACAAAGATAGCGCTTCCTCTAATGACAAACTCAAATACCAAGTGCCAGTTGCTCAGTTGCAAAAGTGGGCCTGTTGAGAAACAAGAGAGAGGTGACAGCATGCTTGGGGAAACTGTAATGTTTGTAGAAGTACACCAAAATATTTATGGATGGGGAACCCTAAGGGGTCAAAGCAGCCCAGTGAGGAGTGAACGTTTGTGAAATACTGAGTGCTAGTTTGAAAAGAAAAATCGGAAATGGGTAGTGGGGAAGAGAATGGGCCACTGGAGAAGGGCATGGGTGGCTAGAACTTTGAAGAGAAGGACTACCATGAGGAGGCGAGAATACTTTGCATTATTTTGTCGCCCCACTTTTGTATATAAATGCACACATGAATTAGCCCTAACCTTCTCTCTTGGGGAATTGCTTCCTTTACCTTGACTAGAGTAATGAGCTTCTCCGGAAGGTCCGTCTGGATTATTCAATTCCCTCTGCTGCCCTTTGCTGTCTTTTGTATTACACTGATTCAGGAGGTTCCTGCTCGTGCATACTCGGAACACAGCCACACAGCACCATGGGTCTTGTAGTTTATGATAGCCTACAGTAGACTTGATGAAGTCTGCAGCAACTCCTGCCACCATGGTGGCTGGGGGGAAACATTATGAGAAGTGCTGCCAGCCAAGTTCATAATTGCTTGTGTTCAAACATTACATTTGTGTAAATGTACATGTTACATTTGTGTACATTTGCGTTCAGACATTAAAATTGTTCATACAAGTGTATACTTAAGAATGATCAGGAACTGCTGATGTGCAGGGAAAATGTCCTGCGTGAATCAGCTCTGCAGGACCTGCAATTAAATTTGATAAAAAATAGTACTCTTTCCCATTTTTATGTCAAAAGGAACCTTTTTTAGTTATTACTTGTGCTTCTAGCGAGTGTATTTTGGTTGAATCAAGCTGCCTTGCTCCACAGTGAGATGATTGAAACAGCATTCTGGCAATTTAAGAGGCCTTGGTTTATGACCTTAATTCAAATCTCGGTCGGTCGTACCTGGTTTACCCATCAGGAGGCATACCCATGGCAATAAAACGCAGAAAAGGTTAGCCACATCAAATTGAGTATTTAACGTGAGACTATGGCCAAGCTGTTGACAGAAGGAATCTAAAATTTTACAACCTCCTCCCTTCAGATGTTCTGAAAATCATTTTGGTCGCCGACAGGGAGTAAGCAAAATGTGGTTTCAGTATAAGTGAAAAAGCTTTATTTTCACTGTGAGGTTTTCAGTCCAGGAGATTTCCCTTTTTGAGGATGTTTCCCCCCAACACTTCAGCTGACTGTAAACTGCAAACCCATTTGCTCATCCCTTATCTTATCCAATTAATCTCCTTCACCCCTTTTGTTTGGTAGATCTATCTCAAGGTTACCAAGGGAGTGGAAGAGAGGAAGTGGAAAGAAAATTCCTCAACATGGCAGGAAGTCATTGCTCTTGTCTTCTTGACGGGAGCACCCAATGCAGAATTTCCTTCCTCCTGATTTTCAGACTTAATTTGATTTTAAAAGGCCAAGCCTGGGTACCAGTGGCACATTGAATGAAGCGATATTGCACACACTGTTGAAGCCCAGAGGAAGTACAGGAATGTAAGAATCCCCCCAGCTCATTATAGCTAAGAAAATAGGAAATAAGGAAAAAGGCATGTTATTTATTTGGGTATCCGTCCCTTAGGGATGGATGCTATCCACATTTTCTGTTTGCAGGCCTCAGGTGTGCTGAATGGACACTGCAGGAAATTAGCTGGCTGCAAAAAATGGATCATTCCAAGATCCCCAGCAGTCATTCAAATCTCAGGGTCCCTTCCAACTCTATCATTCTATGAAATATTTTAAAGAAGGTTTCCAATAAATCAGCCAAAGGTTTTTTTCTGCAAAAGTTGCAAGGGCTCACAAATGAATTGGAGGTGCCCCTTGTGAGCAGTCTGGTAACTCCAGGTGCTGCAATATTTTTTGAGGCTCAGCGAATCTGGATTGAATCTGAATTAATAATCTGGTTAGATGACTCTTGATGGTGGGGGTTTCATTTGAGTGACTGGGTGGCTCTGTTTGTCTTAAAGGAGATTCTGACTTTGTGGAAGGTTGGTTGATGATCATTTTTGATTCACAGTCATCACTGCTGCTTCATAAATCCCACTTCTTCCCAACATTGGCCATTCCCATGAAAGGACTTGACTAGATTTGTTTTAGCCAGTACCAGACTTGAGATAACCCAACAACAGAAGAGCAATAGGAATTATCTGGTCTCTGGTACAGTAAACCTGGTCAACTTTACATATCAAATCCACATCAAGGGAGAGGTAAAACAGGATTCCCTTTGTGTGTGTAGAATCACATAGTTTTATTTTCTCATACACATAAGACTTTTGAAAAAGTACACTTCCAGCCCTGTAGGCTACAGTTTGGAAAAAGAATGAATGATTTGAGTGTCTGGGACATTATCATCAGTTGTTTATGATGCCTTAAATCCCTCTGTCTGACGAATATGATAACGAGGGTAGCCTTTTTCTATAACGAGAATTAATATCATATTACTCCAGCTGTCATGCCATTGTAAGTGATCAAGACTTTTCTTTGGTCCTCAGATTTTGTTGTTGTTGTTTACTGGTGTTTATGTTTGATGCATGTACATTTTTTGAAAACTAGCTGCTAATTAAATAACCACCCCACCCATGTTGCTGATGCAAGGGTGTGGCAGTATGATGGGACTAGAGGAAAAGTTGGTTGCACTTCAGCCCCAAAAATGTAGTTCCACCACTGTGTGGAGGCAAGTGATAGGGCAGACTGAGATTGGTGGGGCAATGTCCCCTTAGCCGAAATGGACTGGTCCAAAACGGAAGGCACTCAGTTGGGAAAGCTTCTTAGGTGCCACCTGCGCTTTCCGACATTCCCTTCATCCGACACACCTTCATCTTGAGCAATCTTTGGTCTACCAGACACGTCTGTTCAAATGAGTCCATTGAGAGGCTGGCTTCGTCTACAACACACATCGTTACACAGATAATGCTTAATGATTCCCTGTGTAAAACGTCAGTTGTGCAATAGAATCCGTGTGTGTGTCATGGTGCTGTCCAAGTGGTTGGATGATCCAAATTGGTAGCACAGTTTCCTCTCTTCTTCTTCTTCTTCTTCTTCTTCTTCTTCTTCTTCTTCGGAAATAAAGCAACAGTGAGTTCTTTGTGCCTCTCCCGTTGCCCTTCTCTCATGGGGAATTCTCTGTAGTAATTACTGCTGAGTTGCTGACCACAATACCACCTACTGGTGAGAGTGGAGCTGATCGTGGGCCAACTCTGCTTTATTGCTGACCGCAGCTGCTTTTGACTTCGGCAGCTGTTTCTCCTTTAAGGCGAGACCATAAAAGTTTATTGAGCAGCTCGCCATCAAAAGCGACATGTTGTCCTCGGTCGGCAAGGCAGGGCTGGAGCCATGTTGAATTACAAGGCTGACACCCCATTATGAGGATTGGTCTCTGGTTTTCTCCCTCTCCTTCCTGTCCACTCCCCTCCCTTTGTGTCTGTTCCTCATCCAGAGTGAGAGCCAGCTTTGGAGTAGTGGTGCCAAGTGCCCATTGGGACAGGTAGGTTGGAAGGCAAGGAGGCTCACAGTAGGCGGAGCCCAAAGCCAATGATAGGCGGAGTCAATTATTTCTAGTTCTGCCCCATCTGCAGGAGCAAAGGAGGACCAAGCCGACCAGCAGTACACAAACCTCCTGAACTGGACGTGTGTAAGAAGGCAGGAAGATTGATGGGGCAGTACCCGGTTTGCCATAATGGACTTGCCTCCAGTGTTTTTGAGGATGAGGAGAGCTCCAAAATTTGATCTTTTCTAGGCTCCCCCAAGACCTACAACTGATGTGCCACCCAAACAGCACCACCATTTTTATTTTGCATGGGGCATTCCAAAAGATTGGAGTGTCAGTCGAGGACTTAAACCAGGAAACCTCAACTCTGTGGAGGGTTGACCATGTCTGTGGTGAGCCACAAAATCTTCCAGTTCAGTGATGGGTTCTCAGGCCCACCCAGCATGGCCAAGAAGAGCTAAAGAAGACCTTTTCGACTTGATTTCCTTTCTGGGCGACCTTCTGTGATAGGCGGGGCCAGAAGCAAGGATTGTCAATTTTATCTTTGTCCAGTAGGCTACTTTCTACCCCCACACGCCTGTCTCTGTCCTCCATCCAGGCAAGCAAGAAACACGATCAAGGACACATCCCAGCGAAGCAAAAAAACTCAAGGACGGTGCGTGAAGCAGGGCTAGTGAGGGGAGCGGCTAGGGAAGGTATGTGTCCCGGGGAGGGCCAGGCAGCTTTTTCCTGAAGCTGTCAAAGCCTAGGTGGGAGAACATCCGAGCGGAAGTGCTTCAGTCACAAACACAGCGTACCGCTAGGCAGGCTGCTATTTTCTAGGTCTTGTTTCCTCTCCATCTGCAATATGGTAATAATTAACAGAAGCCTACCTTACAGGGTTGATGTAAAGATCACTGTGCTGATGTATGTGTCTCTCAGCCCCGGTTCTTTATTTTTTAGTACTGGTGCAAGTGGGACTTGCATCAAGATGTTGCAGAATATCCTCCTTGGCAGGGTTCTTGCCAACCCACTAAACCCTCCTTCAGGAGACTTAAAAATATAACACTTGACACTTAGAATTTTGTGGTTACTGAGCATGCTCAATCTTAGCAGACAGGACTTTTCTTCGGGAAGGGGGAGATCTTAGGGTAGTTGTTGTTTTAAGTACTTCTGCGAACCTCAGGGTTCCTACGAACATACCAATATCTCCCCTTTGGATTTCACTTGTCGTGTTATGGCTTTCTTTCTTTTGGCACTCAGCACCTGAGTTTGCTTTAGAGTGAGCAACTGTTGTTTTATTATATTCAAACGTGTTGCTCACTTGGGTTACCTTAGTGAAGCGGTTTGCTTTCAGCCTCCCCTGTCCCACAGGAACAAAGGAATCTGCCTTAAACTGAATCAGACCATCTAACTCAGTATTGTCTGCACTGACTGACTCCAGGATTTCATGCAAGGATCTCTCCCATCTCTTTTTTTCTTTTATTTAAACTCTTTAAAAATGTATATAGTCAATAAATCATTCTTTACAATAGCATAAAGTAAACATTTCACCGCTGTGACTTCCCTCCACCTCAAATCGACATCTTTTTGTACTCTGTATTTTTGTTTACATTGTGTTTTTGGTTTTTTAAACATTCCCCTATTATTAATTTTACATAATCTGCACAACTTTACGTACTTAGTCTAAACATATCAACATATTTTCTTTAGAACAGTGTTTTTTCATATAATCCTCAAAGAATTGCCACTCCATCCTTAATTTCTGATTTGACTGGTGTCTTATGACTGCTGTTAATTTGGCCAGTTCTATAAATTCATATAGCTTATCTATCCAGTCCTCTTTTGTGGGTATAATGTCCCCTTTCCAGTTACCTGGAGGTAGAGGTGGTGGAAGAGGGGATTGAAGCCTTCCGCATGCAAAGCAGATGCTCTACCACTGAGCTACCACCCTTCCCAGATTGTTGTGAGGGTGTAGAGGAGTGGAAAGCTCCATTCCCCCCCCAAAACCAGAATGGATCCCCTTCGATGGAAAATGGGGTCACAAGCATATCCTTGGATTTGTAAAGGGAGAATACGTACACATTCACACATACAGAGGCTTCAATACACTGAGATATATTCTGCTTTTGGTGCAAAATCTCTGGGTGGTTAAATAAATTAGCATTTCTACATATTTTATAGAATGGCTGTGTAAACAGAAAGAGTTGTGGGATGCATCCCAGTTACCTTTCCATCACCTCTTCTGCCTGGCAGCCAGTGAATCTGAAATGGGGGCTCTCGCTGTGTGACATGGGCCTCCTTCGAAAGACAGGAGGAGCACAACAGTTTCCAAGGCCCTGTCACTGGCAGCAAGGTCAAGCAGAGGGGTCTCAAGAATGGGACGGGACAAATACAACTCCCTCAGGAGGTTTGTCCACAATCCAGATTTTAAAACTAAAAAGGCCCTTTTATTTCCACCAGCTAGACACCTGTCATTTGTGGGCAGGGGTGTTGTTAGCTACTTGAAAGACCTGGTGCACAAACCTACAAAGGTCCAGTAAGGTCTAAAGTTGTGCAAACCACTTGGGATATTGAGCTTTCATCCCAAACCGAATATGGTTTCGGGGCTAAAAGGGGGTGCGGAATTACCTTTAAAATTTTATTTCTGGCAGCTGCATCGTTGCTATTAATTACTGTTAATTACCCACTCTTCATCCTAAGATCCCAAAGTTTTAAACAATTTAAAATACATTAAAAACAAAACAAATTCAAATCACAAGAAGGGGGGAGGTATTTACAATCCTCATGGCAACGTCTGCAAGGATTGCTCTTCCTGTTGCTACCTCTACCTTTTTACCACAACATAAGTTCAGCATCACCACCACATCCAGAAAATTGCAGAAATGGTACCCCTACTCCTCTGCCCACAATATGGGCTTGTGAAACAGATTGGATGGCGGTGCATCTCTCTGCTGCTCCATACTGTCAGAGGTGAGCAGCTATATGAGTGGGGCAGATAAAGGTGCTTGGCAGGCTGCAATTGGCCCCCAGACCTGAGATCCCTCCCCCCACCCCATTTTATATGATTGTTGATTAAAGCACAAAGAAGCAATTATCCCTCTCTTCATTTTGACTGGATCAGTTTAGGTCTGGGCTCACCAAAGTTTTTTGGGTTTTTTGTTTTTTTTATTTTGAGCTGGGGGCACATTTGGAAATCTGAAACTCCTGTGGGGTTCACATAATGTCCATTTCATGGTAGGCTAGAGGGGTGATTCTTCAAAAAGATAGCCACCATCAACCCAACACACACCAAAATAAATAAAACACAGCGCTCCCCAAATAGCAATCCTCCCCCACAAAGCTAAATCCCGCTGAATTTAAAGGGGGAAGGGGGCTTAGTGGGCACCCAGGGGGGTGGCAGAAGGCACTGTGTTGGAGACCCCTGGTTTAGCCAAATAAACTTTATTCAGACTAGGTCTTCCAACTCTCCATTTCAGACCTAGGAGGAGAAAGAGATGGAGGCAGTTTTCATTACACTTTGCTTTTTAAAAAAATCTTTTCAGGCAATGAGTGTGCCTTAAAATCGACTTTACCTGCAATCTGAATTTACTTTCTTACTCCTGATGAAAGGATTTCTGTTTTGTTTTCAGGGGGGTGTGGCTCGGTGAAGCCATTCCCATCGCTAAAATGCAGTAGACACAAAGGAATAATATTTAGAAATCCGGTTACTTAAAGGAGCACAGTTATTTTAGCCAGATGTATATGATCCTCTTGCAAGAAGCTGTCATTCCCCACTTCCCCCCCCCAAACCGCTGCCCTTATTTATAGAACTCATTTTCTGGAATCAAGTGTTTTATAGTGAGGTGGAGATTGTAAAGGAGTTGTTTGTAATGAAGTTTCTCTTTGGCCAAAGCTCCCTTCCAGTTTTATATCAGAAATGATCTGAACGGTGCCTTTATGGGGGTGACACTTGAAGGAAAGAGGGGATGAAAAAGCCAGTGAGTTAAGGGGGGGTTGGCGGGGGGAGGACCAGGAAGGCCAAAGTGGGGATGGGTGGTGGTGGAGAGAACCTCATAAAAATAGTTGAGATCATTTGCCAGTTATCAAGAAACAGATACTGCTCTTTTATAACAGGGAGCACTCAAAAGTTTCTACGCTCTTAAAAAGGCAATTAAAACCTTATAACTCCAGAACTATAAACCATTTCTTTCCCCTTCTCCTTTTCATCTGGAACGTCGAGGGCAGATTACAACGCATTAATAATGTTTTTTGTTTAGAGTCCGGGGTTTCTGATGACTTCCAAATGCGAGGCCGCCTCGAAGGAGTCCGGTTTCTCTTTTAAAAAAAGAGTGCTTGTAAAAAATAAAATAAAAAAGTAAAGCAAAATGTGGTAAGATTGTTATGAAAAGAGAGTGTATTTAGGAAATAGCACTTAGTGGGGTCTCTCTGAATGCTTGCCAGGTCAGGAAACTGAAGTGCAAGGCTTGGCCGACGTTCAGATTACCAACCCCCCCCCTCGGCCCCCGGCTCCTTGACCACACAGTACGTCAAAGAACATGTCACGCGCAAACCAGATCGGCTCTGCCACGCCTACGGACCAGCTTGGCATAGATTTTTTCACATAACCCGGAGCGCCAGAGAGGGAGAGAAAAGAAAGAAAGCATTCCAGAGTGGAGGGAACATTTAAAGAAAAAGGGGGGGGGGAAGTAGCAGAAATGAATAAATAGATTTATAAAGAAGCAGGAGGAATGGCCTGGGAATGAAACATTAGTTTAGTCTTTTAGGGCATGTTGAGCAGCAGCTTCCCACCACCACCCTACAGACCGGAACAGAGCCATTTTCAGGAAACACAAAGGGCTTCATGGTACGGAGCAGGTGGGAGGACTTCGGAGGTCTGCTTTGCGTACTTAGAAACCCTGGGGTCCAGGTGCAAAATAGTGGGGTGAGTGGGAGGAGCCAAGTACAAAATGGAGGTTCAGGGTGGAGCCAATTTCCTACTGTCTCCCCATAAGCTACACAAGGGCACCCAGTACAGAATTTGCAGGGCGAGGTGATGAACCTCAGGTGGCACCGTGGTGTGGGAGAGGGCAGGCAATGGATGAAGATGTGACTTGGTCTCTGAATGGTAAAGCAAGATTTTTCTAGGGTTGACTTTGTGAGTGGGGGTGGGGGGCGGTTTGGCCAGCACTGGGAAGGTGGGGGGGGGGAGTAATTTGATTCAGTCCCCATTTAAAGGCCAATCCATCCAATTTACACTTTTCCGAAACAATACGAGAACTGACCTTCAGAATTCGCACGTACCTGAACTTTGCGGTACAGTTCTCCAAACAAACAACATTTACAAAAATGTATCTGGTGGTAGGGTTGCCATCTTCCCCAAAGTGAAAATCCAGACAAAGTTGTTGAGATCTTTCTTTTTCAAAGTTTTGGGGCTTCGGGGGCTTTTAAAAGCTTTTTTTTTTTTTTAATCGCCCTATTCGCCATACGTCCGGGTTTCCCCAGACATTTTGTGGATGTCTACAGGAAAACCCAGACGTATAGCAGCCCTACTGTTAGGAGAAATTGTGCCTAAAAATGAAGAAAATGGTGAAAGTGGCATGCAAAAATGTCTTCGGGACAGTTGCTTGTAAAAACGTGTACACTAATCAAAAATGCATATTCATTAAGTGAAATTTGCATGGAACTGCTAGTGACTTTTCAGGAGAGGTCACATGCCAGAGTCTGAGACAAAAGTGGGTGTAGCAATTGATGTGACTCTTACCTTCATACATTCCAGCCACACAAAGGTCAGAGCTTTACACACACACATGCACGCGCACACACACACACACACGTACACACACAAACTTCAGTCCTCCATCCAGGCATGCAAAAGCCATTACCAGAGTTCAAAGGCACATTCCAGCCAGGCAAAAGCGTTTGAGGACAGCATAGAACAGGGCCGGTGATGGGTGTGGCTTGAGGAGAGGGGTGTGGCCTGGGATTGGGAGTGGCTTGAGGGGAGTACCAAAGAGTGGCTACACAGAGAGTCCTGGAGGGATGCATTCAGGCCCCAGGCTTGCTGTTCATCGCCCGCATAGAACAGCCTAGTTTGAGTCAACCCCCATGACCTCATCCACTTAAATAATTTTGTGTTTTTAACAATAAAAGATGGGTTCGCCAGCCTGTTTAATCATAATATATAAACCACATTGCACAATATGAATGATGATCCGTATCAATAACAGACATTATTGATAATTTCAAAAAAAAAAGGCTGCTATGCCCAGACTCGGTTTCATTTGTTTGCTTGGTGACATTTGATTGAGCGCCTGCTCAAATTGATATTTATGTATTTTATTTATTTCCATCAATTAGTAGTTACAATATTAAGGGGTGCTCTCTTTTTTTACTTTTAGCTAAAATGCTTTCTACCAAGAAATGATGGGGATATCCATTATCCAGTGACCTCTTGCATCAAAATACAAATGACAAGTGAGGGACCTTCACTGGAATAAAGGTCCGCTGAGAGACCTTTACTGCTTTTTTTCAGGGTTCTACTCAGCCAGCCAGACCCACTTCCAGGATAATTCTATTCCATTTGTCCTCCTCGCCCCTGTTTTCTGCCATTTCCCGTCCCACCCAGTCAGCCCACATCTACTAAGCATGCTGAGCCCTCCTTTCAGTGTGAATCTCTCCTAAATACACATTTTTGTATGCAGTTTTGCCTAATGTATGCATCTCTGCAAAGCAGCTAGCAGCTGTAGCAGTACAGTGGTACCTCTGGTAACGTACTTAATTTGTTCCGGAGGTCCGTTCTTAACCTGAAACTGTTCTTAACCTGAAGCACCACTTTAGCTAATGGGGCCTCCCGCTGCTGCCGCGCCGCCGGAGCACGATTTCTGTTCTCATCCTGAAGCAAAGTTCTTAACCCGTGGTACTATTTCTGGGTTAGCGGAGTCTGTAACCTGAAGCGTATGTAACCTGAAGCATATGTAACCCGAGGTACCACTGTATTACCAGCCCTTCAACACCAGGACTCAGGCCAGGTTACAACGATTTCAAAGTTCAGAATTAAAAACAGTTAAAACAGATTACAGTCAAAGGAATAGTGTGGATCCTAAAAATGCACATCTCAGGCCACGACAAAGAGGTGCACCTTCAGCATTCACCAAAAGCTGGATAGCGAAGAAGCCAGATGTGCCTCCGTGGGGAGGGAATTCCACAACTTAGCATTTTTGCATGCTGCTTTCACAAATATATGCATTTCCGTGCACACTTGTCCCTAATATATGCTTTTTGTACACATTACTTGGCTGGAGAACTGCATTGCAAAATTCAGAGAAGTGCCCATGAATATGGCTGGCTGCGTTTCAGTTTGAGACTTCCTGTGGAAAGTACGAAACTAGGTAGGCTCATCTTTAAATGCTACCTGAATTGAAATTCTCCCCCATCCCTAATAACAAGTATGTTTCCAAGTGTTTCACATGGAATACCTTGCAATATTTAGCACAGCCCTCTGAGTTCGACGAATGTTATTCACATATTGCAGATGTGAGGGTAGAGGCTAGCTGTCTAGGTACTTCATTACAGAAGCAATCCAGCCGGGGACTTCCTGATTTGGAATTTAGAAATGCTTAAATTAAATTGCTAGAGTGCCTGGTTTCAACGTGTGTGTGTGTGCGTGTAAGAGAGAAAGAGAGATAACAGATGAACAAGGGTCTTAAGTTGTTTCCTGCCTTCAGACAGTAACTCATTAAACCTTTTGAAAGCTTTGAAAATCTAGCCAAGTGTTGTTGCAGTGTTAGCACATTCTCCTCTCCCTAGACTATATACATCTTGGTTATTATTATTTCTACGCTAAACTAGCAGATGTTGCCGGCCAGATTTTAGCTCCTCGAGACATTCCCCAACCCCAAAAAATCGAGACTTTGATTAAAAGCTGAGTTTCTGGTCTTAGCCCAGAAACTCTTAATTGTTCACAAACACCAGATTCCACAACATTCATTGCTCACAAATGTCACACTTTAGGATCTGTGGGAGTGAAGATAGGGTACTTGAAAACTCTCAGGGTCTTAAAAACAGTTTTACGTCCGTCTTCGAAGGAGCCTTTGAGGATTTATTTTCTTGATTTTCTCATTCATTGCTAAAAGGGATGTTGTGAGGGACGGGGTGGAGAGAGTTGAAAGTTTGAGAACATGTAACCATCTGTGTTGTGGTTGTTCCCCAGAGTGAAATAATAACTCTTGGGAGCATATGAAGCTGCCTTATACGGAGTCAGACCATTGCTCCATCTAGCTCAGTCTTGCCTGCACTAGCTGGCAGCAGCTCGCTAGGATTTCAGACAGGAGTCTCTCCCAAATCTACCTGGAGATGCTGAAGATTGAACCTGTCACCTTTTGTATGCAAAACAGATGCTCTAATACTGAGCCTGTACAGCCCAAGATCTCCAGCAAGCATGTGCACCAGTTAGAATTGCTTACATGCTTAGCATAAATAAGTTTAGCAATACAATTATGAGTTGGTGCAACCGGTCAACCCTCTAGGTGTTGTGGGACTCAACTCCCATCAGCTCCAAACACCCTGCCCAGTGATCGAGGATGATGGGAGTTGGAATTCAACAAACTCCAGTGCAGCTCAGATTCCCTTCTCGTGGTTTACAGTACAGCTGACTCAAACTTGCTCTGAGTTGGTTGGATTTTGTAAACATTTTCACCGGACAGTGGTACCTCGGGTTAAGTACGTAATTCATTCCGGAGGTCCGTTCTTAACCTGAAACTGTTCTTAACCTGAAGCATCACTTTAGCTAATGGGGCCTCCTGCTGCTGCTGCGCCGCCGGAGCACGATTTCTGTTCTCATCCTGAAGCAAAGTTCTTAACCCGAGGTACTATTTCTGGGTTAGCAGAGTCTGTAACCTGAAGTGTATGTAACCTGAAGTGTATGCAACCCGAGGTACCACTGTATTGGGAAAAAATACCCTCTTTTTTTAAATACTTCCACTCTCCTTGCTTATTGTTTGATTGCCCTTACTTGCTCTCACTCAGTGACCTTCACGTGCCATTAATAATGTCATCACTCTCTCTAAGCTAATTCAGTCTATTCTCTTATTGGGTGTCACTGCCCATGTGACTATTCCAAGGAGAAGGCGTAGCTGGGGTTGCTGGCACTTGTTGTTTAGATGCTCTTCTCCCTTCTTTGTTCATCCTTGCTTTCCCAGCCCATTGCCTCATATGTCCACATTGATCTTTAGTCCTATTGGCTGTGTGACCATGTCATCTAACAACAACAACAACAATTTATTTACTTATTTATTTATACCCCGCCCATCTGGCTGGGTTTCCCCAGCCACTCTGGGCAACTCCCAACAGACTATTAAAAACAGAATAAAACTTCAAACATTAAAAAGTTCCCTAAACAGAGCTGCTTTCAGATGTCTTCTAAAAGTCAGATAGTTGTTTATTTCCTTGACATCTGATGGGAGGGTGTTCCACAGGGAAGGCGCCACTACCAAGAAGGCCCTCTGCCTGGTTCCCTGTAACCTCACAAGGAGGGAACCGCCAGAAGGCCCTCCTTGGAGCTGGACCTCAGTGTCCAGGCTGAACGCTGGGGGTGGAGATGCTTCTTCAGGTATACTGGGCCGAGGCTGTTTAGGGCTTTAAAGGTCAGCGCCAGCACTTTGAATTGTGCTCGGAAACATACTGGGAGCCAATGATCTTACATCATAGACACTTACAAGCAAAACCATTTGGGTTGACACCACCAAGCAGATATAACAGCAGTGAAGGCAGATGAGGCTCAGGACTGGGGGACAGGAGAAAGAGGACCCCAAGCAGCATCAAAACAACATGAATATTTGGCCGAGTGAGTATCCTCCACCACCACCCCACCAGGTAATCTCTTAAGCTGTGTCAAGTGTGCAACTGCCAAAGTGAATCTTAAAATGACAGAATATTCAGTGAAGTCTTGTATTCCTCCTCCTCACACACACACACAATTTCCAACAACTTTTTGTAGGTTGGGCCTAGAAAAAAAGAGAGAACAACTGGTTGCAAGTCACCCAGGAAGCTTGCAGCTTGAATGGAGATTTGAACCTGAGTCTCAAGTTCAAACCTTCTGCCCACTACATCAGACACATTGTTAGGGTGGATGGCTCAAGAGGCTCAAACAGCAGTCCCGGATTTGCTGCCCATTCCTCCTTTTCAAAACAAACCTCATTTACAGGCCAGCTGGACGCACTGCAAAACTTCTTTATTTCCTAGAGGCACCTATATGTATAAATCAGCTTATACAAATTGATGTGCAGATTTGCATCCTGAGCCTGTCCACCCCCTTCCCCAGTGCCCAGCAGATCCCCCTGGACTGCACCACACCGATCATGGGAATGTGCCCTGTCAGACCCACACATATTTCTACATCGGTGCAGGCGGAAGAGAAGGCGCCTGGGAGAAATTTTAGGTAGACCTCAGCTTTGCTTTGCTGTGGCCTTTGGTTTTGGACAGACCCGAGTGGTCTCAGCAGATGTATGAGTAAGCATCACATTTTTGCCATACCCCCACCCACCCGCAAATATACATACACACACACACATACAGTGGGAACGTGTTACAAAACATTCTGCCCTTGTTCCCTCCCCCGGGACTCCCGACGAGAGACAAGGAGGCTGACAGCTCTTTTCCTGTTGTAGGTCAGAGCTTCAAGGAACTCTGCAATCTTCCCACCAGCTTTCTTCTTCCCCCCCCCCCCACCCTTCTTTTCTCCCTCCTGGAACTCACGGTTAAAATTAGATGTTGGCTGAACTCTGAGGAGTTCATTCCGAAAGCCGTTTCAGAGGCAATTTGTACGGCGACTTTGCTGCCCAGTCCATTTTTCTCACAGGACCCGTTTTGGGAAGCCAGTAACCTGGATTGCCCTGACACTTTAGCCATTTAAACGACGGCCGTATCCTTCCCATACAGCTGAATTTACAACGGGCCGCATGGCGTGGCGTGGAGATTAGGCCAGAAATGTGCTGGGTTGCCAGCAAGGGGTGCCATACAGGGTCCCAAGAAGCCCCCCGTATATGGCACTGCCCCCTAATGTAGCCGCCTTGCTCACAGGAGGCTTCTAGGAGGTGGAGAGCATGGCAGCCACCAGCCATTAAAAATAATTTCTGCTGTCACCACCACGCCCTGCCTTAGACCTCTCAGCAGGTTTCACCTCCTCTCATAGCACTAAAACAAGGCCACATTCACACCAGACATTTAAAGTGCTGCGATACCATTTTCAGCAATCATAAAATAATTCTGGGAGTGGTAGTTTCTTAGGGGTTGTGGGAAACCACAAGAGGGGAATGGTGCTCTTCTGCTCAAATCCTGCTTGTGGGTTTCCCATTGAGGCATCTGGCTGGACACTGTGAGAACAGGATGCTGGACTAGATGGACCATTGGCCTGATCCAGCACGCTCTTCGTATGTTCTTAAGGGTGCTGAGAGTTGTTAGAAGGACCCTATTCCCTTCGCAGAGCCATGATTCCCTGAGTTCCCAGTGATGAGGAATTGAGAGTTAAACCAGTCCGGATATTGTAGCTTCTACCTCACAAAGCAGGTGTAAGGATAGAATGGGCTGGTGATGGGAGAGCCATGTAAATAAGCCTCAGTAGGACCATCTACCATGTAGGTTGAAGACAGTTCCCAGCCCAGTGGTGTGCCTTTCCTTACACCATGTACAATATAAGTGGGGGAAATTGGGCTGAATCTAGCCCTCCAGGCTGCTAGACTCTCCCCAGGCCACACCCTTTCCACACCAGTGCTTTTGCCTGGCTGGAATGTGTCCTTGAACTCTGATAATACCTCTTGCTCTCGCCTGAACGGAAGGTAGAGGGGTGTTTGCGTAACGCCAGCCTTCTGTGCAAAGAGAAACTGGACCTCCATTGCTCCACCCACTTTTTCCTCTGGCCTCTCCCACCATGGACATACAGCCCCCAGAATGTTGCCCAGAGAGGAATGTGGCCCTCAGTCTTAAAGAGGTCCTCCACCCCAGAGGACCAAACTTCTGGCAGTAGTCCTTTCGCTATACAAACCAAGCCCATCTGGAGTCATCTAGAGGAGGGGTAGAATTTAAGCCGTTTTCTTCCCCCTGGTGCACCCCCCCCAAAAAAAAAGAGATGATGGAAGAAAGGAAAACAGGAGTGAAGATGTTAAAAAAATATATGAAATGGGTCCTCTGCAACCCCTGAAATGAAAGCGAGGAAGAGCGTCTTGCAAGGATGCATTCCATGATGCGCTTCCATGCATCAAATTGGGTGTTCTTACAGTGGGGGAGAGGGTGTGCGGACACTATAAAAAGGAGCAAAGTGTTCTGGTTAGTATCTGCAGCAAGACTCTGGGCCTGCCCCTATATAAGTCAACTCCCCCCCCTTTTGTGGTCAGTTCAAAACTCAAAACAGCTTGTAAATAATTTTACACACACACACATATATCTGGTCATTCCAAGTCCAGATTGTGTCAGCTTCTTTTGCTCATTTGCTTTTTCTCATTCACATCTGCTCCCCAGCCTCATTACTCTTCTGTTATTACATTCATTTAAGAAAAGACGGGAAACTGGACTTTGCCCTATTCCGCAAATTCGTTTTTAATCCCTCCATTTTATGAACATGCATTAAAATGTCCGCCAAACAGGAACATGGGAAGCTGCTGCATAACGTGCCAGATTCATTTTCCATCAAGACCAGTGATGTCTGCTCTGACTGGCAGCAGCTCTTCAGGCCCTCAGGCAGAAAAGCACCTTTCCCATCGACGCCTCCCGATCCTTTTTAACTAGAGATGCCAGGGATTGAACCTGGAAACTTCTGCATGAGAAGCAGATGCTCTGCCTTCCTCAGACATTAGTTCATGTCTGAGATAAGAATACAGAGCTGCCTTATGCTGTTTCAGGCCACTGGTACATCTACTTTGACTGGAAGCATCTCTCCAGCAATTCCAGCAGGGGACATTCCCAGCCCTTCTACCCACTGAGCAATGGTCCCTCCTTCACTGGGTGAAGCTATAATGGTTGCTCCCTGCTCTGCATCTTCATATTCATTCATGACCCTCCCCTTCCATCTTCAAAATTTCTTCTTTCTTAGGATAAGTCAGTTTGGGGGCATGTAGAAAGGTCTGAAATGTTGGTGCGGATTGGTGTCATGACTGTTGGTGTCCCAAAGGCCGAGAAAGCCAACTCAGGTGGGGAAATGGCTGCTGTTACCCAGTGCAGTCCCTGTGGGAGAAATGGGTAGCCTCAGGCATGGGGGCCAAATGTGGTCTCCGACCCCACCCACCCCTTGGGAGGGTGCCCGAGTGCCAATACAGCTGCCTCCTTAAAGTATTGAGCTGCGTCAACGAGACGTGAATCTCCCTGTCTGTTTCCGCCTCACCCAACCTTACGCTTCCCTCTTCTCCGCCATTGGGTTTCTTAGGCAGCCCTGTGGGTTGTGGGGAGATTAATTGAATCAATAAACACAACATTATGTTCCAATTTAATGGCGTGATCAGCTATCAGATGTGCTGTGCTAAAACAACATTTTCCTAGGAAACTTCATGGCTAAGTTTTCTTAGGCACAGGGGGCCTTTAATCCCTGGAGGGAACTTGACTCGCTAAATATAACATGAGCAAATATATTTTATGGAGGTGAAGAAAAATAACTTTTCCCGTAGTTTTGGCACGCTATTCCTTCTGCAGAAATATGTATTATTCTTCCCCTTCCCAACAGTGAGTCAGAGACTTTCTGGTAGGCATTTAGCTTTTGTGGGCTGCTTCCCGGATTGCGATCCTGTATCCCAGCCATCCCTGACAGGGGTTGTACCCCTCAAACATCAGGAGGGCACCAGGTTGGGGGAGGCAGCTGTATCTCATGAGGACTAGCCGCACCTACTTCTTTTAAAAGCCACATGTGGAGGGGTTTCTTCCTCTTCCCAAGGCAGCTAGCCAGGATGGCAGAGTAATTTGATTCAGCATTTAAAGGTGAACTCTACTAATTTGCACTTTGTGAAACAACATGCGAATCAAGACGCTGTAATTTGCACTTCTCCGAATTTTGCAGGGCAGTTTTCCAGACAAACGATGTGTACAAAAATGCACAAACTGGGCTAAAGCGTGCACAGAAGAGCATATGCAGTGGACAATAACCTGACAAAAGTTGGGTTTTGGAGGGAATTGCCCTGCAGAAACAGAGTATTTTAGGAGAATTTCACACTGAAATGCTGATGGATTTTCATGAGGACTTTTTAAAAAAAAATTCCCAGGCAGATGTGGAACTGTGGAGGAAACAGTGGGAAAATAGGGGGAATGAAATGGTTCAAATTTGCCTGTGCCCAACAGTAAGTGGTCAGTCTCTGGAAGGTCATACGATATCACTGGCACCATCCATGAGGGGCCTTGAGGCCCAGCCCCCCATATTTTCAAGAAGGGAGTCAGGGGGCCTCAAAATTCTATGGAAATCCTCCAAAGGATGCACCAGGACAAAGATGCTTGGCCCTGCCACGTCCTTTTGAGGATCACCAGGTATGTGGCAGGGCGAAGCATCTTCACCCCGTGTGTCCCTTTCACAAGGTAAGACAGCTAACAGGCCGAGTCGGCCTGACCAGACTGGGGGGGGGCACACGTGTGATGTCATGTACACGTGACCGGCCCCCAATGTTGGGCGCAACTCAGTGCTGCTGCTTGGCATCAGGGAGGGCCATATTCTCTTCACATGGTGCCCTTTCTGTTCTCCAGGCAGTATTGTGGAGGCCTGAGATGCAATTTGATTTACAGACTTGAGTTTTCAGGGGCAGTGATAAAGCTGGCCCTCCTCGAGCAGCCAGGGCTTTGCTGTCACGGAAAACACGAGATCAGGGAGAGTATTGTAGGTCTGCTTCTCTGTTGCAGACAGTTTCCCTGTAAAATCTAAGCAGGAGGTGTAGCTTTAATATATGGAGCTCCTCTTCTTCTTACACCTTGACAAAGTGTTTTCTTTTCCTTACAAAGGGAACTGTGGGCCAATCTTTTCAACCTCACCTTGATGGAAATTTGGAAAAGCAGACCCTCTGTCAGTGAGCTGCACCCCTTCTTCACTGAAAACATTCAGCCCACCCTTGACATTTTCCTCCCATAGCAGTGAACGGCACTGCTTGTGTATGAGAGAAAGGAAAGGACTCAAGTGACCAAGCCCATTCCACTCTGCATAGCTCCCCCCCCCCCTTTATGAGTTCTGCTCTTGGTCACACTAGAGTATGATGGAATGCTAGGAAGCAGCTTTTACATTTTATCCGCAAAGCTGATTGTGTTTTGGAGTTTGGGGAAAAGAGAGGCATCTGTGAGGGATCCAGTCTCTCCATCCGCTGTCATAACAAAGGTTGAAAGTGATTGGTTGGTCGTGCCACGGATGCTGTTTTTGACCACCGTGGGGAGCCTTGGGCAAAGCCCTAGCAAAAGGCCCCGTATGTTTCCGATCACCGCAGGCTTTGAAGAGTGACACTTTGCAAATTGCGACACACATGTTGTCAAGTGTCTTGCCCACGTGTCAGATGCTTGTGTGTAAATGTTTACTCTCCACCCCCGGGGTATGTTTGTGTTGAGGCGGACGGCACATTTATTGTGGTCTGGATTGCAAAATATGTTCCTAATTTTACACTGAGGCCCTGGTGCCACAATGGCTAGGAGATGTTCAAGCCTACCCCTCCATCCCTGTTGTGTAACAGCCGAGCATGGCAGGTAACCACGAGTCGTGGGTTTGGCCGTCTCTTTCTCCAGAGCGACTAGATGAGAACTGAGCATACACTACACTTCCTCACTTCCCTTTTGACACTCTCCCACCAAGTATAAATATTGGTTTGCTTGGCCAATGTGGATGCTGGCAAGGGAATCACTCTATTTTTTTTTTCCTCCTTCCCCTTTCCTTCCCGAGATCTTAATCTCTTTTATCTTCAACTTTGAAAATCTTGCTGCTGAATTCCAAGCGGATTCATGGTGCGTTGGGTGGCTGGCTGGCTTTGCATGTGGTTGTCAAAATGTGACTTGGATTTCTCCCCCATGAAGGTTTATATGGCTGGTTCAAAGGAGGAGGGGGGAAAGTGAAGTGGTGGGGGGAACGCTGGACGCCGGATTGATGGTTGCTTTGCCCACAAGATAATAGCAAGGCTCAAACTTCGGGTAGTACAAACAGCTGTAATTTAGGTGGTCGGGTGTGCTGTTTCAGCACTTCCGATCCTTCCAGTCCACACATACAGGGTATTCTAAGCCTTTGATTGGCCCCCACATCACATCTTACCACTAATGGGAATGACAGCTGCTTTCTCATGGTCATTGCAGGATGCTTCCCTAGACTGGCTCATTCGTGAGTGGGATTGCAGAGCACAGCACAGTTGCGCATTTGCCAGAGCCCCCGAGATCAGCAGAGGACCCACTGCAAAGTGCCCCCATTTCCCACTTTGCACATCTAGAAGAAGTGGACATCACTCCATTGGGACTGGTGACGCACTGCCTCACTGACCTCAGTCCTCCCTTGTCTGTCCTCTTAATTACAACTAGTCTAAGGAGTGGCAGTGCCTATTGGCTTCCTCCTCCTTAGTCTCAGTTTCGCCCTTGGAGAACTCAGTAGGAAGGAGGATGGGGACAAAACTAGAATGAGTTGGCTCTGTGTGTCATTGGTTCTCACTCCACCTACTGTTGGCCTCCCTGCCTTCTGCCTGAGCATTTCCAATGGGCACCAGCCACCATTGCTCAGAAGACTGAATGCTGTGCCTCTTCCAGATTTGGAGTGAGCATGCACAACACCACCCAAAATCCAGGAGCCAGCACTGGTTGGCCTGAAGATCACATCCAAAGTGGCAAATTTCAGGCACAGTTTGGGGAAAGGTAGCAGGTTTTGAGAGCAGAGATGCCCCCACAAAGGTGCCATTCATACCATGCCCAAATTCTCTCCAGCATCAGCATGGTTTCTGATGGCGACCTATCAGCTGATTTTAGAGACAGGGGAAATTGTTAATTCCCTTTGAGCTCTCAGTGGCTTTCAATACCATCAACCATGGTATCCTTCTGGAGTGGCTGTCTGAGTTAGGGGTGGGTGGCACCGCTTTGTGGTGGTTCCAGTCCTACTTGGATGGTTGTTTGCAGAGGGTGATGCTTGGCAAGTGCTCTTTGGCACCTTCAGTGCATGTTCCTCAGGGTTCGATTTTATCCCTCATCTACATGAAACCACTATAGTGGGGGTCACCCGGAGTTTTGGAGTGTGTTGTCAGCATTCCGCTGAGGACACACAACTCTGTTTCTCCTTTACCTTTGCCTGTGTGGCAGTGGATGTGCTGGACCAGTGTCTTGCCCCAGTAATGGACTGGATGAGAGCCAATAAACTGAATCTCAATCCAGGTTAAGACAGCAGCAATGTTAGTTGGTGGTTCCCTAGTCCGGATGGGTGGGAGGTGGCCTCTTCTTGATGGGGTTACACTCCCTCTGAAGGAGCAGATACCAGCTTGGAGGTACTTCTGGATCCATTGCGGTCGCTTGAGGCTCAGGTGCCCTCAGTGGCACAGAGTGCCTTCCATCAGCTTCGGCTGGTGGCCCAGCTGTGCCCCTATCTGGACAGGGATAGCCTAACTTCTGTCGTCTATGCTATGGCAACCTCTAGGTTAGATTACTACAACATGTTATACATGGGGCTGCCTCTGAAAACGGTTTGGAATCTTCAGCTGGTGCAGAGTTTGGCAACCAGCTTGGTCCCCGAGGCAAGACAGTCCGAGCATTTAACACCTACCCTGGCCCGAACACACTGGCTGTCAATTAGTTTCCAAGCCCAATTAAAAGTGCTGGTTCTGACCTATAAAACCTCAAATGGCTCAGGACCACAATACCTCAAGGACTGCCTCTCCCCATATGAATCAACCCAGACCCTATGACCGTCATTTTAGGCCCTTCTTTGTGTGCCATGAGAGGTCCAGAAGGTGTCAACATGAGAACGGGCCTTTTCTGCAGTGGCTCCCTGTTTGTGGAATGCTCTCCGCAGGAAGCTTCGCCCTGGCGCCTTTGTTACATATCTTCAGGTGCCCGACAAAAACTTCTCCTGGGTCTTTGGCTAATTAAACCGTCTTTGGCCTTTTAAACTGGGGGGGGGGGTTTACTATTTTTGTGTTTTTATATTGTGAACTGTGGTCCTCGGATGAAGAGCAGTATAGAATTTTAATAAATAATAATAATAACATGCCTCTGAAAGTTTGCTGCTGGGGATCCCAAGTGGGGAGTGTGCTGTTGCCCACTGCAAGAACAGGATGCCGGGCTAGTTGAGACTTCGGCCTGATCCCACAGCCAAGCTCTCCTTAACTTCACATGTGTGTCTGAATGGAAGTGCCTTATGAAAATGCCTCTTTTGATTAGAAACTTGAGCAGTATGTGAACCCTTTTGCACTGCTCCTGAACTTACACACACACACAACTCTTCTCCCCTCCCTCCTCTTTTGCGCCTTTCTTTTCTCCCTGTCACTGCCTTCTCCTCTGTGTGTACATTTTCCAATGGCCGGGGCAACTATTTCCTCCCATAGGCATCTCTCCGGAGCTAAGAGCCACATATCTCGAAAAGGGCAGGCGCAGCTTTTCCAAACAGCCAAGCCAGCGCCGAAGCAGTTAAAAAAAATGTTAGCACGCGAAGCGGCCAGCAGGAGTTGGTGCTTTGGAGTAAAGGGGGACGCCAGCCTGTCTCTAAACTTTCTGGCCCTCCCCGAGTGCCTAGATGAAGGAAGAGCCCTCCATAAATCACTGGAGATTAGAGTCCCTGTTCCTCCAAGTCGGCAGGCCTGTACTGCTTAACGTCAAAGCCTCACGTATTACTTTAACAGCACTCCTTTTCTTTATTAAATCCACTTGGGGTGGGGGAATGAGAATACAAAAAAAAGAAGAACAGAAAAGAAAATGATGATCTTTCCAGTAAATGGGGAGGAGGCCTAAAAGGATTTAGAAAGTATCTCTTAGGTTACATTACGGAGACTAATAACCGTTCGGGGAGTAGGTAACATTTTTTGCGCCGTTTCGGAAAACAAACCGAATATACGGATTGTAAAGGTTTCGGTTTTATTTCGTTTTTTCCAATCATGCCATGCAGGGGCTGATGTTTCTGGGTACTTTTTTAGTTTGGGAATGGGGTTTTTTTTCCTTAGCGTGCACACGTATTCTTTTGTCCTGCTGTCGGCAATGGTTAAATAGTGTGTGCAGGTTTTTGAAATTATACAAAAACCTGCTGGACCGGTTTGATCAGTGGGGAAAGTGGGCTGAGTACATATGCCATGATCCCTCTTTCTAATCCACTATTGCCTTTTGAGGGGTGGGGGGAATCATCTCATTTGCACCTCAGTTTATGCTTCTAGCACTGATCCAGGAAAAACAATGACGGTGGCATTGGTGTCGGTGTTGCCCTTGTATAACTCGGCTGCGAAGAGGAGGGTAGGGCCAGAACCAGAATGACTTGGCCCCACCCACCAATGGCACTGGCTCCACCTACTTTTGGTCTCTGCCTTCTGGCCTCCCAGTTCCTTTTTAATTTTATTTTTTTTCTATCAATTTTTCATTATTACAGTTTCCAGAACCACATTCACATTGAAAGCAACATTTCCCTCATTCGTATCTTACTTTCTAATAAAACAATCATTTACGACTTCCCTTCTTCCCCTTCCCTGGTTCCTTTGATTTCTCCATGATTTCTGCATATCCTTATATATCCATTTAGTTCTCTTTTCCTTTTATTGTGCCTTTATTTTATGTTATACTGTTGAATTTACCTTAATCCTGCTAACGTTTCCCCATATTTACAGTTCTTTTCCAAATACTCCACAAAAATTTTCCATTTCTCTTTATATACTTGATCCTTTTGTTCTCTAATTCTGCTAGTTAAACGGGCTAGCTCTGCATATTCTATCGTTTTTAGTTGCCAATCTTCCTTGTTAGGGACCTCCCTCACCCTCCACTTCTGTGACAACAAAATCCGACTGCAATAGTGTCATTCATAAATCTGGGTACCTGTACCATTCCCAAAAGGAATGCCTCTGCTTTTGGGGGGAGGCCATTTTAAGCAGTGGGATTTCGTTGCAAGGTTGCCTTAAAAAAAATTCCAATAAATGTTTTGGAATATTTCTGGAGACTTAATAAAAATTATATCGGCAAAAAAAATGAAACAAAAAACCCTGTACCAAATCCTAAGAACAAATGCTAAGATTCAGGTTGAACTTCCCCTTCGGTGGTGTAGTCTTACGCTCCAGGAATCTGAGATATTCTTCTTCTTCTTTAAGACTTTAAAAATGTAACCTAATGAAAAATCCAGGATTTTATAGTCTCTCATTGATGGACTCTGTTCAAATGTTTGCAGGAGAGAAAGGTGAACATAGCTTTGGCCCCAGAGGACTTTTAATGATAAACTCACACTATTTTAGATTTCTTTCGCCTGTGAAAAAAGACCTTTCCTTTGTCTTTCTTAAAGCTCAGTGTGTTTCCCCCTCAGTTTCCTGCCCCAGTTCAAGCCCCACATTTCATGTGTGTTCTGAAGCTTGGAAATAGTTCACACCTAAAAAATTTGGGCATTGGCTCCTTTACCAAGAGAAAAGATGGACATCGTTGGGTTTGGGGTGTCCCCCCCCCCGCCGCCGTGGAGTGCATCCAAAATCTGAGTAGGAACAGCTTTTCTGCTCATTTGGGATCTGAGGAACAGCTTGGAGGCATCACCCTCTGTGGGTGTTTGCCTGGTTTTATTTGTGTGTGTGTCCGTTCAAGAAAACGGGCCATTTTGAAAGTTTCTGAACTCTTAAAATAACTGGGAGGTGGAATGAGACTCTTGGGTGGGGGTGGTGGAAATTAGGGCAACTGTTCTGAAGCTTGCCTGTGCAAGTGTTTTAAGATTAAATATGGAGCGATTAACGTTTCACAAGTATGTCAGCTCGGGGTGGGGGGAGCGGTTTGGGGAAGGGGAGAGAAGGGAGGCAGAAGGTTATCGTGAGATTATAGCCAGTGGTCCTGAAACAGCCTCCGAGACCTGCCGTTACTGTTTTATTAGGAGAGAACAAGTCCATAAAAGGAACAGGCGGTTCAATCATATTAGAACAGGGTGATACGGAGGCAGTTGACAGCCGGGCTTCAAAACCCATTTAAGATCCAAGCGAAAAAGTTTCCCCCCAAGTAATACGCTGCAGCTGGTGTCGACTCATTTTGGAAAATGCTGACCCTTTGGCACCAGCCATTTCTACTTTTTGCAATCCGGGGAATATCCTGCCTTTTGGGGGGCGTGGAAACAGAGCGAAGGTTTGGTAGCGCACATGTCTCCCATCAAAATGGAAGGCGGGGGACGACTTGGCAGGGATGCATGTTTGCTATCTTCTCAATCTAATTTCTACATTTAGACCGGAGAGCAGAGGAATGTTTTTGATGGTCGGAGGTGTGCTGTTCTGGAATAAACTCCCTAAAATAGTCATCGGAGCGAAAGGACTGTGCTGAATTTGAAAAACAGGGCCGGATGCGTTTCCGAGCTGGGCTGTGGGTTGGAAGAAAAGGGCAGGTTGGGGGAGTTTAAAAAGAGGTCTGGCATCCCATTCCATTAGCAGCCAGCTCATCAGGACAGGAAAAGAGTGTTGCACTGGACTGGCTACTATGGGAAGCAGGATCCTGAACTAGATGGGTCTCTTTTTGTCTGATCCAGTACTGTCAGAGTGGAGGATATGAGAAGGCTCTGCTGCATCATGTCAAAATGCCCATCTAGTCTAGCTTCCTTATTTCCTATGTTGATCAGTCAGATGCCTCTAGGAAGCTCAAAGGTGGGTCATGGAGGCAACAACCGTCTCCTGCAATGACATTCAGGGGTCTTTGAACATGGAGGTTCCATATCACCAACATGATTAGACTGACAATAGACGCATCCTCCCTGCATGGCCCAGCATCAGGGATAGGGATCCGTGGGCAGCTGCCAACTCTTCCGAGGGCCCTCTGTCCATTCCTGTGGCTCTTGGTTCTGCTGCACCACCTTGCTGTTACCTGACCAGGGTGAGGAGAGCCTTGTCTCGCACTCGCACTCTGGACGATGGTACAGATTGGTCCCAGAGACGTGAGCAGCAGGAGCAGAAGTGAGGAATGGGAACGACCCACTTTGAGAATGGATCCACTGTGGGTATCAAGGCCAACAGGCTTCCAGAAATTGGAGTTGGCTCTGCCACCAAGACCCATAGCTGACAATCCCTCAGAAGTCTGAGTTTTTCTTGTTTTGTTGTTAAACATGACAGCTGGTTCCCGCCCCCCCCCCCCCACTGGTTATATTTTATTAAGTTTCAACATTCTTAACATATACAATCAAAACACAATTTCGTCTTCGATTTTATTTTTGGTCAACTTCCCACCTCCTTTTCCATGTTGTTGTTTCTCTCCTTCATGATGGCTGTTTTTTCATTGTGCATCCAAGTCATATACAGTTCTGTATATTTAGTAGCAAAGAAATCTTATCATTAATAATAATAATAATAAATAATAATAATTAAATATTCAATCATTATTAAATATTATGTGTTGTTTCCAAAAAAAGTCCTACTCAGAATAAACCCCTTAAAAGTAATGAACTTATGTCTGCAGCACTAACATTGGATGTAAACTAACAGTATCACTACAACTGCTGCTGCTAATAATAATAATAATATAAAGATGGATGGCATTATTAGAGCACTGAACATCTTCTGTGTCCTCCTACCCTCTGTTTGCCTAGGCTTGTTTTTAGTTTGCCTTCTTCAGTTCACAACAGACCATGTAGGGCTCTCTTCTTTCAATGAAATCCACATTTTTATTTCCCGTTTTCTTTTTAAAGCTTTTGTTGTCCTCTGTTGTGTGGTACGGAATGCTACTTTCTCATTGTTGGCCATTTGTTGGATATCAAGCGGGAAGAGGGATGTGCTGGAACACAAGGGCAGTGTCTGTCATCCCCCCAAACAAGATGCTTTTAAGGATTATATACCAATTTCACACAATATAGGCATGACTGCCGTGGCAAGGGGAAACCTACATCCTGGAGGAGTAAGCCGGAACCTTGATTTGCCTTTAAACCTTCCAATGGGTAATATCCTAATAAGCTGGCTGAAACAGGATATCTGGAAAATGAACTCATTTTTAAGTAGGTCACAACATCTGTGATTATCTTGTTGGGATTACTAGCCTGATCATACTGTTGGGATCATGGTGGGTTTTCTTTAGGGCCTCGCCATTCTGTTAGGCCAGGCCATGATAGCATCTGGCTTTCTTGAAAGTGGAGCTCCTGGCATGATTTGGTCCTTTTCAGTGCAGCTAGAAAATCTTGGAAGGGGCATGGGGCTCCTTGAGAGAAGATTGATAGCAGCAGGTGAATGGCACGCAGTTATAAATTGTAGGGACTGGAAACATTCTAAGGCTGCGTTGAGGCATCAGGAAGATGCTACAAGGCAAGTGCTAATATCTGCAGGGCAGGTACAGTAAGAGGGCAAACCATACAGTAAGAGGGCAAACCTCTTGTTGCTTCAGCATCATTCAGCCTTAGAAACGAGCCTTATATAGGAGCAGCAGGTCCATCCCAATTATTATTATTATAAATGGAAATTGCAGAAAGCACAAAAGGTATACATTTCGTATTCTTCTTTATTAAATTTCTATACTGCTTTTCATTTGAACATCACAGAGCTGCCTGCAATGTAAAACCACAAAAATACATACCATAGGAACAAAACAAAACAAATCCAATATCCCACACATGCACAAAGTTTACAAGGCTGAAAAGTGTTTCATTAGCCAAAGGCCTGGGAGAAGAGGGATGTTTTTGCCTGGCACCTAAAGATGTGTAACGAGGGCTCCAGGTGAGTATCCCTGGTTAGAACATTTCACAAGTAGGGAGCCACCACAGAAAAGATTCTGCCTTCACTGCAATGTGCTTCTTTAGTCAAAGTGGCCCAGCCCGATCTAGCAGTCTTTTTCTCTAACAGGGCAAGGTAGACTTGGGCTTCCACAAAGAAGTCTTCTGAGTCAGAGGGTGGCAATGGTCTGGAGGGGCACAGACCCCGTTGGCTCATCTTGTGGTCATGTCTATGGATGCAGTCCTGTGTACATTCTCCCCTCTGACTCAGTCTCATTCCATGAAGAAGAGAATCCGATCCCAGGGTCATGACAGAAGACATGGATGAGCTTAGCCTCCTTCTTCCAAACTGGGATATTTTCACCTCCTCTCGCAAAGCTGCAAAGAGAAGTTTGGAAGCTTTCACTAATGATAACTTGTCATGCCATTTGAACCTGACAAACTATGGGTAATCCTAACTATGGTTTGCTTGAAATAAGTCAGCTTCACATCATGGTTTATGAAGCTGGCTTATTTTGACAAACCGTAGTTATCTTTAACTGCAATTCAGATTGAGACGTAATGCTAAACTGAAACCAGAAGCAAAAGTTTCCAAACTCCTCTACGTGGCCATGCCTGAGGAGGGGACTGGAGAGGGACATGCCAGCCTGGGAGACTTGGTTCATTCCCATCACAATAAGCCATAGTTTATCACCATGTCCAAATTTATGATGATGTCTTAGTTCAGACAGATTTGCAGCTGCTACACTAGCTTCCATTACGTTTCCACCCACAAGTTAAGAAGGGCAGCCACTTTGATGTCACCAAAAAAGGTCAAAGGAAGACATTTCTTTGCATAGCATTTGTCTACACTAATTTATTTGTACAGATGCAAATTTACAAACAGTTGACGTTCCTGCCCTGCCTTGACGATGTGCCTTGGAGTTTGTGTAGTGCACATGGAGCATAGAAATGGTTTCTTTTGATGGACTGACACGCTGCTTGCTATGCGCTGAAATGCTTTCCTAGGCCATTGTTCCCCTTAATTACTGCAACCTCTGCCCTCTCCACTTATCACTCTTAACACACCACTGGCAAAGTGTTTTCTCCCTGTCTCTTTCTCCCAACATGTTCAAGCTCTTTAACCTACAAGGCAACTCAAATCCTTGCCCCCAGTCACTCTTTGGCACCTCCTTTCTTCCTCTCGTCTCTTTTTAAAAAAATAATCTTAAGGCGACCGGTCTGATTATGAAACTTCCTCTTGCTTCTTTTCTCCTGCTTCCTTACTCATCCAAATAGCAACCCTGTGGAAAAGGATCCCATTATTTGTTTGCTTGTTTTAGTAAAGGCATTTAACAGGTGACCACCACAACAAAATGTTGCAGTGAGGAGTGCATTGTCTTTAGCTAGTTGTGTAGGAACTCGCTACAAACTGAGATTAAAACAGACATTATTTCTGATGAGATTTGGGAGCCTGCACAGAGCAGTAACCAGCCTTCCCCAAGCCAGGCCACACCTCAAAGTCAGCTCTGCAGACATTGGCCTCTTAGGTCATAGCTGTTTCTCTAAAAGGGGCCACATGTCAGATATTTATTTGATAACGCATGTCTTAAATGGAGCACTTCTTTTCAGGGTCCTAGCCAGCTAGACATGCTTTTTTCCAGGTTCCATTTCCACACACTTGCCATCCTGGTTTTCTGCCCCCACTTAAACACATACTCAGTATTGCTCCATCCTCATCAGGCTGTTTGGGGGATATTTTGTACTCTCCCCTCAAATTTTTGGGGGGTGCTTTTTCAAATCTTGGAAAAAGATTTGAAAGCTTTTTCAAATCCTTCCCCCCAAGGAGCCTGATGCCCCCTGTTGTTTCTCTGCCGCTTCTTTTTTGGCTGCATAGCTCTCACTACTAGGAATGGGAAGAAATTCAATTCAGTTTGCATTTTAGTATGTTGCTGTTGCTGTTGCTGTTGTTGTTTAGTCGTTTAGTCGTGTCCGACTCTTCGTGACCCCATGGACCAGAGCACGCCAGGCACTCCTGTCTTCCACTGCCTGACGCAGTTTGGTCAAACTCATGCTGGTAGCTTCGAGAACACTGTCCAGCCATCTCGTCCTCTGTCCTCCCCTTCTCTGCCTAATTCACCCTCCCTGGTTCAATGTATGAACTGAGACAGAGCTGCCCATCATAGTTTGTGCATCTCTGAATCTTGCAGTGCACTTCTCCGTCCCAATCATGTGTGCAAAAGTGTGCAGGGAAGTGTGTGTAAAAATACAGTTATTAGTGAAAACCACACACAAATGCATTATATTGGGGGGGAGCCACTTCCAAATATGTGTGTTTTAGTCAAAACAACATACAAAAATATGTGTGTGCACATACGATGGTGTATTTTCATTAGGGCTTTTAAAAACAACCACCGTGGACTGAAGCAGAAATGTGGGGAACTGGATTTAAGGCTGACAAAAAAGGAGAAACAGAGAAAAGGCAAAATTTTTGTTGTTTGCATAATATTGACAGATGGATCCACCCCAAATTGGCACTAATCAACTGACTTCGCTGTTAGAGGGAATTTGCAAGGCAGCTTTCAAAAGTATATTGTCAGAGCAATCCTTACCCCCCTTATGCCAGTCTTAGGGGTTATTTTGGTGTCCCTCTGCCCAGCCTCTGCCTGCTTCCCACCTGCGGAGTGAAGCCAGTGTCACTCCATCAGCAGTGCAGACCTCCCCCCATCCCTTTCCAGGAACAATTTCACCACCTGAACTATTGTGTGGGCTAGATGGGAGCAAATGATTTGGCAGAATGTGCAGGCAGCAGGACCGCACCTTGCCCTCCTTCTTTCCCACTGATCTTGGCGTTCTCGTCCCTAGAGGTAAACGCCGCCTGTCCTCCGAAACACAACAGCTGGTTCTTATGTGAGAAGGCAATCCACAGATTAACTTGACAAATGTATTACCAGTTCATTTTTCAAGATTGAGGACCTACAGGGTATTTTTAATAGAGTTTTGACCTTGATCGAGTGCAGAAATCCCATAAAATGGAAAGGGGGGGGGTGAAATGCCCTCATTCTGAAGTCTAACCTGCAACTTACGTGTGTTGTTTGTGCTCTAGTCGAGTTTGATGTTTGCCTCTAGCTGTCCTTGTCAGCTTTGGTGTAAAGTCGAGGCTTTGGAAGCAGAGCTGTTTGCAGCATGAAGGGTAAATTATTCACTATACCAGGTGCGGTGGCAAAAATTGTGTCATTCAGCCTGGTGGTATTACACTGATTATTACAGAAAGCCAACCTGATGTTTGTAGTTCTTGAATGTCAGATTAGGACCAAGGAGATCCAGATTCAAATCCCTGCACAGCCACCAAGTAACCTTGGTGTAGGCAATCGTCTAATCTACCTGACAGGGTTGTTGCAAGTATAACATGGCGTTGAGATTGTGGCTGGCATTCATCTATCTCAAGAGACAATGGAGTGCACCTCCGAGGGTGAAGTCAAAACGCTGGAGATTAACAGTGCCTGCTGCAGCTGCAGAGACTGGTAACTCGTAACTACTGCCTCCCACATGGTTTTAACAGCACCAAAGTGACCCCTGCAGAGTGCAAGACTGGGCAATGTATATGGAAGTTCTGGGATGCCTAGATGATGATCTTGGCCTCACTAATGTGGTCCAAAGGAAAGCAGACCAATACATTTGGCACCAGCTTGGCTGCAGGAGTTGCTGGAAGGAGGCGTACAAGGTGCCATCCAGCCATCTTAGGGACTCCGCTCTGGGTCTGTGTAGGGTTTACTCCTTAGCCTTATCTTCTTCTAAAGTGATCCTGCAAGGCAGCGGATGTTTAGGATCAGTTTTCCTTCTCCTAGAAGGGCTACCTTCTCAGGGATAATTTGTGGTAACGGAATAATAAATTTAATAAAATAGATCCTTTCCCAACAGACACAATTCTCATAACAACCTGCAGCTATCAAATGATTAGATGTGTGTTTTGCATGTCTGTTGCAGCACGGCCAAATTGGCACAATCTGATCTTTCAGGTGGGTGGGAAGGGGTTAGCCAAAAACCCTTCTGTTACTTTCTCAGGTGCTCAGAATGGGAGGGAGAAGGATTCCGTTCATTCTGTACCTTTCTCCCTTGTTATGTAAAGGGGAGGCAGGTATGCTTCACTGGAAACCACAGGTGGGAAGAGTGGCCGTTTCATGCAATTCCTGCTTGCCAGTTTCCCATTGGGGCATCTGGTTGGCCATTGTGACAACAGGATGCTGGACTAGATGGGCCTTTGGCCTGATCCAGGAGCCAGACTCCTCTGATGTTCATCTTCTTCTAATGATTTATGTTAGGAACGCCAATCAATCCTGCAGCAGGAAACAAAAACCTATCACTCAAGCCACCCCTCTCTCTCACCTAGGGTGCACATGATCCCATTTCTCACTCGTGTGTCCCCTCTAACAGTCCCTTGATACTGCCTTATTTTTTACCAGTGGGAGTTTGTGTGTTTTTATTTTTTAAATCCTCCCATTTTCTTCCTGCCTCCCTGTCTCTTTGATGTCAACTCTTTTCACACCATGGTTTTCCAGGCAAGACGGATCAGTGACTCCATTTGGGTAGCAGTGGGTGGGGTTGGGGGGGAAATCCATTGTATTTACATAATCAAATCAGGCCAGATACGCATCGTCAGGAGCCATAAGATGAAGCTTGGACCGGGTGGGGAGGGTTGTGGCGGTGGCTCCCTTGTAGGCAAACACCGGCTGATAAAGAAAACACTCGTATATCTGACACGTCAGCAGCTCTTTGTGTTTACTTACAGCTGGTGCGCTTGTTGCTCGCTGCTACTGCCGCCGTGCTCTCCACGTCCCGCCGGGGGAGGGCTGCTTTGAGTCAAGGCTCTTTCTCCAGGCTGTTGAGTCAAGTACGGTGGGCTCCACTTGCCTACGGACAGCATTCCTTGGAAAGGGGGTCGGCCACTTGATGGGGCACTTTGGAAAGTGCACGTTCGTCTGGCGCACAGGGCAGTAAACCTCTTGGCTGATACTTATTTTCAGCTGATAACAAAAGAATGCATGCTTACTCTATTACCGACCTTTTGAAAGGCAGAAGGCTTCACCCGACATTTGGACCTCATGTCATCGGTCTGCCTTTGAGAGTCTTTTGTGTGATGGTGATCTAATAAATTAATCAGTTGTTTGTTTGTGTTAATCGCCTAACAAAGGGCACTCTTTAGGAGACTTACAATCAAGTTTCAAAACATACAAAATTTAGGTTTTTTAATATCAAAATTGAAACTGTCAAATCAGTACATATAAAATAACAATTTCTTGGGGTGGTATCCAACAAAGTTCTACTCAGAGCAAAACAGTTGAAGTTAATGGGGCCTCAGAAGGTGGTTGACAGTGGTTGGACAGCCATCTTTCAGAAATTATTTAGCTGTGATTCTTGCATTGCAAGCAGTTGGACTAGATGACCCTTGGGATCCCTTTCAATGCTACAATTCTATGATTCTAAGTTGATCGTGTCCATTATTTTCAATGGTTCTTTTCTAGATATGACAAAGAGTGGCATTCTGGAGCTACACTAACATAATGCCTTGGCTCAGTTGGGTCAAGTTCTATCAAATCCCCTGTTGAAGTGCAAAGTCTTAACTAGACATTGAAAAAATGTTCAGTGTCAGCACCAGGCAGGTCTCACATGGGAGAGCATTCCTCAGGTGGGAGCCACAACTGTAAAGGACCTCTCCCTTGTCATTACCTGCTCAGAGGACTCACCGGAAAGAGGGTTTGGGAGGAGAATCTTAAGATAGATTTGTGCTGGTACAGGTGGTCAGCCAAGTATTATAGTCCCAAGAAATGTATAGATTAAGAGCAGCACCTTGAATTGGGCCTGGGAACTTACAGGCACCCACCCAGAGCAGTTGTCTTAATACTGGTGTTATACAGTGTTGTATAATGCCATGCTTCTCTGTCTGGCCATTGAGACTCTTGCCAGGCCATTCCACTTCCCAGGCTACACCCCTCAATGGTCCTGCTGTGAGCTCTCCTTGAGTGCTTTGGCCTACCTGGGATGCATCTTTCAACTATGACACTGCCTCTTGCTTGCCCGGATAGATGGAGAGGGGTGTGTCCAGTGTGGGATCTTTGACAAATCCTCTTACTTCTGCTTAACTTGAGATGTAGTCTATTGTACCAATGTAAGAGTCCTCTGAGCAGGTAATGACCTGTTGCTCCACCCACTTATCTCTCCAAAGCTAGCCACCACTGGCATATGGCCCTTGGAAAGCTGCCCATGAGGAAATGTGGCCCTTGGGCTGAAAAAGGTTGCCAACACCGTGTTATATAGACCGCCTAAGATTCTGATGCCTGTATGGCTTCTTTATGGAGACTGGAGGAGAGGTCTTCTCCCCCATCTCCTCTGGTCGCTTTTTTGCTTGACTATGGGACACTCTGTGAATTCCCTGCCGAAACCACAACATCGGAAGAGCAACCTGCAGCACATACATTGCACTGACCCCAAGGCTGTTTCCTAACTTTGCATGGTCATAATGGCGCAGCAGAGTTCCCGCATACTTTGCACATGAATATCCAAAGAGGAAACAGGCAGAGGAATGTTCTAAAAACTACCAACATGGAATTGGGAAATCAGGCTTCTAAATCAAGAGTGTTACGTGGACACTCATCAAGTCTGATGGTGACTCAGGGAGGAATGGGAGTAATTACTGTGACTGCTTCCAATGAAGCAAGCTTGAGAAAGGTTCATCCAGGCGAGATTTCTTGTGCCGTCACAGCCTGCTGAAGTCGTGTCATCTTCAAAGGTGTTCTCCCCCCTCCTCTTCAGGCTGTTGGCTGCCCTTTGAATGATGAAACAGCACTCAGTTTCTGAACTGTTATTCCTGAGACGTATTATTTGGCAGGAGAGGAATGTGCCCAGTGCACTGATGTATAACGCCGTCAGCGGTCTGTTTTCGATCAGTGATTTCTGCTATGCTTATTAAACAGATTTATACAATGAACAACTTTAATAACAAAACCTGTAACCTTCTTTATTATAGTGCATTATTTACAATTCTGTGGTATATGGGTGTAGGGGTGTTTTTCCTGCTACCTTCAGGGAAAACGACGTGTTCTATTTATTGTGCTTTTTATGAACTTTCTAAAAAGTCTCCTATATTGGGGAACTGAGGAAAGTGATTTAACGTGCCGTTCCCATCTACCGTTTCACTGCATCTGCAGGACAGAAGTTCATTCAAGATAAAGCTCATCTTGGCTAAGATTTCTGAGGCTTTGGGAAGTCAGTCCCCCCTGAAAAAATGGGATTGGAGTGGAGTCAAAGTGCATAAACCAATTGCCATCAGTCTTCCAATGATTGCTAGCTTGTGGCCACCATTTTTCTTTTCTAAAGCCTCCTGGAAACAACATGGTGTAACAACATAGCATCGTTTCAAGGGGCTTTGGGCGTGGGGGGAATGGCTACCTGGAGGCACTTTGGGTGGTGCCAGTAAATTTTGCACCCACCAACCCCTGAATTGTATCCTCTCCACAAACTGCCAGAATGCCTCTCTCTTCCTCTCATTTCACCACCTATTAATGGGACGATGAAAGGAAAGGGCTGCATTTCAACATATCACTAACTTCAGGAGGTCAAAGTAATATGGGGGAGGGATTGCTAAAATTCGGAGCCATCCTATGAAGGTGAATGTTGGAAAATCCTGGAGAGACAAAAGAAAGTACATATTCACACAGCACATGGTTGAACTACAGAATTTGCTACCATAAGAGGTAGTGGTGGACATCAACTTTGGTGGCTTCAGAAGAGGATTAGACCAATTCATGCAACAACTATGTTTTACTTCCACTATTCGAGGCAGTATGTCACTGAATTTTAGTTGCTGAGAATCACAAGTGGAGAGATTTAGATTTCCAGCCCATCTAGACCCAGAGCCACAGGGTGAGTTATATAACGTTACATGGTTTATTGAGAAATAAATAAATAAAATGAATATTATAGTTCATCTGTGCTTCTGGGTAAGAATGAGCTAGAAATCTGAATCAGGAATAGAAATCATTCCATTATGAGAGAGGTAGAATATCTTTTCACTGTCCACTTTCTCTGCACCAGGCATAGGCAACCTTCGGCCCTCCAGATGTTTTGGACTACAATTCCCATCATCCCTGACCACTGGTCCTGTTAGCTAGGGATATGGGAGTTGTAGCCTCAAAACATTTGAAGGGCCGAAGGTTGCCTATGCCTGCTCTACACCATCCATAATTGTATACACTTCTATCATGTCCTTTAAGGAAAACAGTCCAGGAGGCAGAGAGCTGAGATGATGGGGAAACCAAGTGGGAAGATTATTGGAAGGGCCTCACATAGAACCTAGCTATTGCAGGAGCTGCATGTTAAGAGAAGGCATAAGGTAAAGAGACAAGAGAGATAATATATTTTGACCAACCAGATCTTCAGCAGTAGGTTTCAGTGTAAAGACTGCTGATAGCACTTAATTCTTCACAACAATCTCTTGAGATAGATCTCCACCAGTGTACCAAGGAACCACAGCCAAAAGGTCATGGATGAAGCTGCTTTTGCCATCACTTCATGCCATCACTGACCACTGGGTTTCTGCTGGTGTCTAGTGGACAAGTTCTTGACATTAGCCAGTGGATAACACTGCCCCTTCTGTTGATCAGTCTCAGGTCATCTTTTACACTAATGTGCCGTAAATTAAATCCATTATTAGTCCAAAATAAAAGGATTTCATTCACAAGGGTCCCTTTGAAAGATGTGTTCCATCGTGGTCTTGGGTCTCCAAGCATTGTTAACTAGGATCTAGGAGTCTTGGTTGACCACAAACTTGAGCCAACAGTGTGACGCGGCAGCTAAAAAAGCCAATGCAATTCTGGGCTGCATCACTAGGAGTATAGCATCTAGATCAAGGGAAGTAATAGTGCCACTGTATTCTGCTCTGGTCAGACCTCACCTGGAGTACTGTGTCCAGTTCTGGGCACTACAGTTCAAGAAGGACACTGACAAACTGGAACGTGTCCAGAGGAGGGCAACCAAAATGGTCAAAGGCCTGGAAACGATGCCTTATGAGGAACGGCTAAGGGAGCTGGGCATGTTTAGCCTGGAGAAGAGGAGGTTAAGGGGTGATATAGCCATGTTCAAATATATTAAAGGATGTCACATAGAGGAGGGAGAAAGGTTGTTTTCTGCTGCTCCAGAGAAGCGGACACGGAGCAATGGATCCAAACTACAAGAAAGAAGATGCCACCTAAACATTAGGAAGAACTTCCTGACAGTAAGAGCTGTTCAACAGTGGAATTTGCTGCCAAGGAGTGTGGTGGAGTCTCCTTCTTTGGAGGTCTTTAAGCAGAGGCTTGACAACCATATGTCAGGAGTGCTCTGATGGTGTTTCCTGCTTGGCAGGAGGTTGGACTCGATGGCCCTTGTGGTCTCTTCCAACTCTATGATTCTATGATTCTATGAACTTCCAGTTCTAGGTCAGGCAACTTTTTTCTTCCTCAGGAAATTTTTACAAGCTTTTTCTTCCTGTCACATTATCAATCTAAAATCTCAAAATATCCTCATTTGCTGTCCAGGGAGTAAATTTGTCTTTCAAAGGGCCCTTCTTTCTTTCCTTCCTTCCTTCCTTTCCTTGTCACTCTCTGTCTTAAGGCAAATGAGTCACAATGGAGCATTTGTGGTCCGGATGGAAACTCTAACAAGCATCAGCACGCGATTCAGGCCGTGCCAGTTCTTGGCGAGGCTTATCAGCCTCAAGCGACTATAAATCTGCCTTGTGCCTCCCAGTAAGACTGACAAAACCATCAACCTAAGTTGCAGGTCTCTCTCTAGGAGCCTGAGCTGACGTGAAGTCGAGGCTGAGAGTGTGAAGTGTGATCTTTAAAAACTTCCCGCTTCAAATCTTGCTTGGCCGTCAGAATGCTAGGT